ATGAAGGTTCTGTGAGCTTTTCTTCCCCGAGCTTAACTCTATTCAGGTCATCATGGTCAACTCTACTTTGAGGAGGCATTTTTTTCCCCAGTTGCATTCTGAGTGCCTTCCCACCTTCCAGTCCTGTATCTAACAGCGTTTCTCTGCTATTCTTAGGTATAATAGCACTTACTAATACCAAATTCTTTAGTAACTAATGTGATTTTCTCACTTTTGTGTTGTTAGGTGCCATTAAGTAAGGTTCGACTCATAGCATCCTATGCACAACAGAAAACAATTAGAAGACATTAATAAAAGAAAGACTAAGTGAGGGACTAGCCCTACGAGATATTAAGACATAACACAAGGTCTTCATAATCACAATGGTATAGTATTGGTGTATGACTAGAGAGACCCACCAGAAGAACAACATGAAAAGTTGAGAAATAAACCAAGAACATATGGAAATTTCTATGATACTGACATCTCAAATCACTAGACAAAGATGGCCTTTTTAATAAATGGTACTTAGTCTACTGGCTAGACATTTAGAAAAGATAAAATTAGGTCCATGGCTCACACCATACATAAGAATAAATTTTAAATGGACCAAGAATCTAAATGTAAAATCTGAAGCCAAACAAAAACTAGAAAAAAAACATAGCTAAATTCCTTTCACTTGGGTGTAGAGAAATTCTTAACCACTCTAGCAGAAAATATTTTCAAGATTTTCATAAATAAAGGATAAGATTCCCTAAATATAAAGAATTCTCAAAAATGAGGGGAAAAGACCAAAACCCTAATAGAAAATTGGGTAAAAGAGAATTCACAAAAGAAAATATATAAAGATATTTTTAATCTCTCTTGGTAAAGTAAGACTCCATACATTCACACATATATAATTCAGAAAGGAAAACTCTTCCTCATATTAGAAATCACTGGTGAATGTAGAGGAAAAAAATTAATAAACTAACTCATTGTCATTGAGTCCATTCCGATTCATGGTGACCCCATGAGTTACAGAGTACAATTGTTCCATATGGATTTTCTTGGCTGTAATCTTTACAGAAGTAAATTGTCAGGCCTTTCTTCTGCAGATTGCTGGGTAGATTTGCACTGCTGGGTGGTTAGAAGTTGAGCACAAACCATTTGCAGCCCCCAGAGACTATGAATGGAGAAGCAACAATGAAATTAGAAAATCACCATTTTGACAGCCATTATAATAACTGGTTCAGGCATGAATAATTCAGGCAAGTCTCTAAGTATCTAATTGTAAGATACCTATTAATAAATTCTAACTTTACCGAGAGAAACCTGGCAGAAAACTCCTTAACCACATGATCACCATCACATTGGGGCTGATCATCAACAGCATATTGCTGACATGTGCTGTCAAGTTAGTTCTAATTCATAGCAACTCTATGACTCATAAGGAGCTTGGTGAGTTTGAACCACCAACTTTGTGGTTACCAGTCCAATGCTTATCCTACAGCACCACAGCAGTGTTCAATCTATAGGATAGGCTTACTGATATGATACACTAAGGAAAAACTCAGTATCATAAGGGTGGTGCTCCTGCCAAAAGTTCCTAACTTGGATTTAATCATGAGTAAACATCAGACAAGTACAAAATGCAGGACATTCTACAAAATAACTACCATGCACTCCAAAACTATCAATGTCATGAAATGCAAGGAAAGAATAAGGACTTCTTAGAATAAAGTAGTCTAAAAGGATAAGACTACTGAATACAACATCTAAGCTTAGATTTTCTTTCACTATAAAGGACATTACTGGCATACTTTACAAAATAAATTTTAAAAATCTCAATAAGGTCATTACAATTAGGAAATTAACATTGTGACAATACTATTATCTAATTTTTATAAACACTGGGCCACTAACTGCATGGTTAGTGGTTTAACTGCTCCTCAAAACACTATACAGGGTCACTATGAATTGGGACTGACACAATGGCATTTAACAACAACAACATTGTGGTTATATAAAATAATTTCTTACCTGGGAAGCATACACTTAAGTATTTAAGAATAAAAAGTCATTATGCTTTTAACATACTCTTGAAACATCAGGAAAAAATGTTGTTATTAAGTACCATTGAACTGATTCCAGCTCAAAGCAACCCTGCGTAGGGTTTCCAAGAAGCAGCTGGTGGGTTTGAACTACTGACCTTTCAGTTAGAAGTTAGTTCAGTGTTTATCCTACAGTACCACACTAGGACTCCCAGAAAAAAAAGATAAAACAAATGTAGTAAAATGTCAACATTTAGAGACTATATGTTAAGGATATTTAAACATTTTTTGCAATATGCATGCAACTTTTACTGCAAATATGAAATTGTGAATAAAAAAAAACTTAAAAATAATTATATACTAAACAACACAGGCTAGATCTCAACTTTCTCTACTATGGAGAAATTCATACCAACTAATTTTCTTTATACTGTTTTTTGTTCAAGTCTGATTTTTATATTGCCTTCTTCTCACTGGGGGGGGGGGGCGCGCTTTTTACTATTACTATTACATAGTACTCAAAAATAAAAGGGTTCTGGTTTAACTATAAGGAGTAGCATAGTGGATTACAAGCTGGGCTGCTAAGTACAAGGTCAGCAGCTTAAATGTACCAGTCGCTCTGCAAGAGAAAGATGAGGTTTTCTGTTCCTGTAAAGATTTGCAGCCTCAGAAACCCTACACAGGGTCAGAACCAACTCAGTGGCACACACCACACTACCAACCAGTTTCAACGATAATAGAAGTCCCTTATGACAGGACTGGAACTCAGTTGGTCACTGAATCTACACCAACTTCACCAACTTGATGGTTCTTTTCAATAACTTCTTTTTACTATACATCCTCAAAGCATTCAAGTTAGTTCTCTAACAAATAAATCATATTTCCTGAACTTACAAAGCATCTCTTCAAATTACATGAGTATAGTAAGAAGTGCATCTGACATAGTTTTAGAAACAAACTGACTCTTTGTAAACAGAAAGTGCTACTAGTGAAACAGAAATCCATAGAACAATCAGAGAACCGACTACAAGGTGCCAGTGTGCTTTGGTCAATGCCTTAGTTATCCAGTGCTCCTATAACAGAACTAGCACAGGTGGTGACTTTAAAAAATAGAAATTTATTTTCTCACATTTTAGGAGGTAGAAGTTCAAATTCAAGGTGCTAGCTCTAGGGTAAATCTTCCTTTCTCTGTTAGCTCCAGGGAAAGATCCTAGTCTCTTCAGCTTGTTTCCCCGTTCCTTGGATATCTTCATGAGGCTTGGTATCAATATTCCCTTATGTATCTGCTCCTATGGCTTACTCTCTTTTATATCTTACAAGAGATTGACTCAGATACACCCTACATGAATTCTGCCCTCATTAATTTTTTCTTGCCCTTTCCAAATAGAATTATAACCACAGGGATGTTGTTACTGTTGTTAGGTGCTGTTGAGTCAGTTCTGATTCATAGTGATCCTATATACAATGGAATGCAACACTTCCTAGTCCTGAGCCACCCTCACAATTGTTGTCATGTGTAAGCCCATTGTTGCAGCCACTGTGTCAAACAATACATACTGTTGAGCATCTTCTTCTGTTTCACAGATCCTCTACTTTACCATGCACGTTTCACAGATCTTCTGCTTTACCATGTCCTTTGCAAGGGACTGGTCCCTCCTGACAATATATCCAAGTATGAGACATGAAATCTTGCCATCCTCATTTCTAAGAGGCATTCTAACTATACTTTTTCCAAGATAGATACTTTTAATATTCTTTGCCAACACCATAATCCATATGTATCTATTCCTCAGTCTTCCTTATTCATTGTCCTGCTTTCACATACATATGAGGCAATTGAAAATATCATGGTTGGGGCAGGCACACCTTAGTCCTCAAACTGGCACTTGTGCTAACACTTTAAAGAGGTCTTTTGCACCAGACTTGCCCAATACTATACACTGCTTGATTTTTTTGACTGTTGTGTCCATGATCATTGATTGTGGCTCCAAGTTAACATGAAACTTCAATCATTTCTCCGTTTATTATGATGATTATTGGTCCAGTTCTGAAAACTTTTGTATTTTTTTTTAAACTGAGGTGCAATCCATTCTAAAGACTTTAGTCATTGATCTTCATCAGTAAATGCTTTAAGTCCTCTTAGTTTTCAGCAAGAAAGGTTGTATCATCTGCATTTCGAAGGACACTAATGAATCTTCCTCCAATCCTGATGCCATGTTCTTCTTCATATAATCCAGATTTTTCAATTATTTGTCAGCATACAGACTGAATAAGTATAGTGAAAGTATTCAACACTGATGCACACCTTTCTGGTTTTTAAACCATTCAGGATACCCTTGTTCTGTTGGAACAACTGCCTCTTAGTCTATGTACAGGTTCTTCATGACCACAATGCTCTGGAATACCCATTCTTCACAATATTATCCACAGTTTCCTAACATCCATACAGTTGAATGCCTTTGC